TCTCAAGATTGTGTCAATAGAGTAAGATTTTATGTATATTCATTTGTATATAATCCAATACTATTCAAGGTGATAGCCTGCACATTAAAAACAAGACCAATACTATAAGGGCCTTTCCATCTATATAAATGAAGACTTTAAAACACCTAGAATATGGAGTCTGTATTGAAAATAAAATCATTGTATGATCACAGTCTTTCTGAAGATGGCAGAAGGATGGATTGAGGTTTGATTTTGATACTTTTTTTTCAAGTCTTCTGCTTGGGTACAGCATGAATCAGTTGAATTTACGATCTAAATTTACTTGGCTGATGAAAAAATGGATTATCTGTCAAGAAATTTATACGAAAATGACATAAATCATGGGGACCAAAGAAAAAAATATGAGGACCAAAGAAAACTTGAAGCCAAATATTTCCATATGTACATAAGCTGCTGTAACATTCCAGATTTCCTGGTTAGCTGATGGGACTTGAAACATTTCATATAGCCTCAATTCTATTCCATCCCTTCCCTTCCCTTCCCACACACGCACAGAAGAGCTTAACTCTGTTATAGCAAGTTCTAAAAAATATTTCTGTTTTTAAATACCCTAAAATGAAACTGGCTGAAGAAGAAAGACAACAAAAAACCCTACATAAAACAAACAGGAAAAGACCCTTAAAGAAAACCCCCAAAGAACTTGCAAAAAAACCACTGAGTTACTTTTTATTTATTGCAATAGCCTCAAYGTATTTAATATTCCCAACACATGCAGAATTACTTGCACATTCATTTATTAATATTTACTACTGGCAGTACTTTGCTTTATTGARAAAGGAAAGCTATTAGCATGATAATTTCATCTCTTTATGTCAACAAAAAAGGAAGATGAACTTCAGAAGCCTCATTTTGAATTCTTTTATCCACTGACAGACTTACCTTTTTTGTGGCCTATGAAGATTTTTTAATGTGATATGACTGCTGAGAACAACTTTATTCTAATGAATCTGATTTATTTTAAAAACATAAAATGGATAGAAAATTTACAACTTGGAGATAAAAAGACAGTAAYTGCTAAGTGTTAGCAGAAGAAAGCACTGAACATATCTAAAGAGCAAAAAGACTYGATGTGAAGGAAAAACAAATCCTGCAATTGTGCCCCATTTACTCATGTATTTTATGTGGTAACACTGAAAACATGTTCTAAATCAAATCAAGATCCTGAATTTGCTTCATGTCGTACTTTGCTGTTAGCTACAACAATAAGACAATTACTCTACAAGAAAGAATTGTGGCTTTCTGTGGCTATTTGAGTAAAAGATGCCACATATATTCAAGGTGGGCTCTGTGATATATAGGAGCAGCTTATCTTCTTTACTCATTGATGAAATTGCTCTCAATGGCAATTTAAAAGAGCTCTACAAGAGAGATCTATCATTTATATTTTTTCCTCATGTTATTAATGTGTTTATTTTCGAAACCTTAGCTTGCTAACCAATTAATACTTCTCTATGAATTTAAGTGACATTTGAACACCTGGATGCAGAACTATCATTGGCTAATGAAAGGACTTTCATGGAGCAATGTTTAGTGCTATTTTTCAAGTATTGTTTTTTCATAAAGAACATTAAGACATAACCATACATTCCTACTTGCATCTTCTTTTAATGTTAACAACCGAAAACTATCTGTAYATGTACTCCGTTTTTTCACCTTAAAATAAAACCCTTTTTGAAAAAATTCTTGCAAATTTGAAAGTTGTGTAAGACACAAGCCAAATGTGTTTGAAACCTTTCATTTTAGGTATATAGCAGACATTCACCCCAAAACACTCATGACTGCAAATATAGGATTTTACACCTCTTTCTTAGGGAAAAGAATAAAAACTAAAAAGCTTTTGTCTGTTACTTATGAAATGCCTTCCACTTTCTGATAATGCATTTTTCTCACACTCTCTTCTCAAAAGTCAGGCTTTAAAATGGTTGAGAAATAAAGGTTCTGTCATTTGCTATTCTACTCCTTTTCTGCTGTAGTGACAATACTTTCTTCTTAGAGGCTGAAAGAGCAGCAGAGGAAGAACTGGATCCTTGGCAATCTGAATGAAATGAAGATGCTGAATAAGCAGGATGGCATAGTTTTTCGATTTCTAAAATCATTTCACACAACCATCTATTTTTCTTGAGACTACTTCCTAAAATCTTTAGTAAAAGGCTACATTAAGCAATAATAGTACTTTTGAAGGAAGCAATGCAGCTCAACATTAAGATTTTCACACCGCCCCCCCTGCCCCCYGTTTTTTAGAATTACAGAGATAAATTGTGTCTTCCTTTTTTTTTTCTTCACAGAATTTTAACTTTGATTTCCTGCATGTCTCTCTTGGATTCTTAACTCAGAAGCATTAATAATCCCACCACGATTTTTTACAGGTTAATACTACTCTTGCATTTGTGGTTTGCTCTTATGTTCCTTTCCAGAGAAAAGAGAAGAAGTAAGGCTAAGGCAAAGATTTCCCAATGAATGAGTCATACTCAGAACTAATCTTTGGATATTTTGGTCATTCTTATCCTTTCCTYAAGTAAAAGCGAAAAAATATCCAAACCCAGAAGCATTTTATTCCACTGGAAATTCTTCAGGTAAACCACACATGGATTTTAGCACCATTCTAATGTAAATTGATGCTCACATGACATTATTTGTGTAAATGTTTTAGAAAGTGATCCTTGCTATTTCTAGTGCATTTTCATCCCAATCCTAGCAAATTAAACTCCTGAAGTCCAATTAAACTTTTGATCCCAGAAACACCCTTAAATGAAACTCAATTGAGCCAGSATGGTAATTACTCAGAAAAAGGACTGACTTGCCAAGAATGAAAGTGGTTACACTGAAATAATAAAATGTATACCAATAATTGTCTTAAGTCCTCAATAAAGAAGCACAGGAGTCAACAGGCTAACTAAAGTCCTTGTCTAATACCTCACTTATCCCCCTTCAGCAAAGTTAGATTATACAAAGMATTAGCAATTTAAAATAGGAGGGAAGCAAGGCTGAGCTCAGCTGGAGGACAAGGTTTTGGYTTCCATATGGTTTAGATTTTCTTCGTTGGCTGTTTTTCTGCACTTCATAAAAATAGTATCATACTGCTTTCATATAACAAAATCAAATAAGAACTGCATAGCAAGACTCTTTGAACTGGGTGTAAAATAGAGTGTTCATAAGATTTCAGCACAGATAYGAAGTGAAATGACACAGAAGACCTTGAAGAAAAAACATCTCTGCTTTACTTCACAGTAAATCTTTAATACCTAGTGGTGACACCTTTTAAGTTAGCAGTAAGGAAAATTTATGATATCCAAAAGCCTTCTATATTACACTAAGATTATTACCCAATAGTTTACTAGCATCCTTGAGGCTTCCATTCACTTCCTGTTCCTGAATCTCTCTTGTACCAGGGTAGATTCGTCACAAACAAAAAACTGACYTCAGATAATCTAAATGAGTGATGAAGACCACAAAAAAAATCGAAAATTTCATTAACACTCTCAGGCATGTGATGTGATTTTTGGGAGTGTTGYGCATGGGGTCAGAAGTTTGGCTCAATGATCCTAATGGGTCCCTTCCAACTCATCATATTCTATGATTTTAAAAATTAGACAGTATGAACATTTTTATCAGGTACATAAACTATTTTCAAATGTTATTACCTTTTGTGGTTTCCAAAGAAGCCTTGTTGAATAGCTATACTTAGCTAAAACTGGACTTACAAATTTTCTGATGCAATTCAGTTCAAGATTTATAATTTAAAATAAAATGTAGAAATTTGTACTTATTTAATATTCATTTGCTTCATTTGGAATGCTTTTAGTTCTCAGTTGTTTTTTAAATATTGACTCAAAAAGTCAAAAATTTCCTTTTCAGAACCCATAAGAGGCAAAACTACTATTTTTATTATTTTATTGAAGGCAATACCCTGACTTTAATCCCTGTCCCCAAATGCTCCATAAATACCTTTTTTAAAAGACCATCTATAATAAAATTCCCCATTTTCCCATTACTTCACAATTTTTTTTTTACAAAATCAAATCAGTGAAGCTAGCTTGTCTTGCAAAAAATAGTTTTCAACACACGCCAAAAATTAATTCTAAATGTATTTGTTCAGCTCTGAAAAGTCTTAGACATGCAAATAAATACTTAGACAATTCTAAAACAAGTAAGTGATTAATTTCCTGTTAAATTAGCAAAACCCTAGCCTAGAARTGGATGCAGGCATTCTATCACAATAGAGTATCTACGAAAACACAACAAAACCAGAAAAAAAACCATTTCAAGAGTCATGTTAAGCCAAATGATTAAACATAGCTTCTCCTACCCATATCTTTCTGTTGAATCCAAAGAAGAGCTATTTGCAGTTATTTAACACAGTTTTTAATCTGTAAATACAATTTGTATTGTTGTTTATGTTTCTATTGTTGCCAATAAGCAAACTAGGAAATTAACCTAGTTAAAACAGAAACACTTTTGGAAAATGAAAGCATTTTGGTACTTACTCTTTATAACTCACACTGCACTTTAGGTTACTGCTACTGAATGTATTTTTTAAATAAGTATAGAAAACATTTACAATCTATATCTATATGATAATTTGGATGGAACCAATTTATATACTGAAAACTAGAGAGACAATGCGCTTTTAAGACAAAGTGAGTATTTCCACAGGGACATAAACCACCCTCATAAAAATACCAGTTAAATGGTTTTTGGTGYCTCTTATTTTTACAGTACAGAAATCTTTTGAAAACACACTAAAACTATCAAAGTTAAAGAAAACAGCAGTATGAAAAAGAATAATATTCTGCCAAATGCTTGCTGCTGTTCTTACAACATTTCATATTTCATCAACATAGACTGGTTTAAAAACTTGTGTTATTGCAGCAGCTTTAATAAGCAGAACTGAAGTGGCAGACTGCTGCCCACACACCACATGATACTTGTAATATCAGTACCTGTTTTAGGTTTCTCACCTTGTCAATCATTTTGCGGGCTTCCATTTCTTCCGAATTGGGATTTTCCAACTCAATAGTGTAAGTACCTTTGTCACTCTGGTCATCCTCATTGTCCTTATCAGTAGCAGCAGAAATATGTTGGCTTTTCAACTTTTTGTCCATCTCCTGGTTCTGATTTGGCCTATGGCCAAGGCTTCCTGAACTCCTTAACAATGCAGCTTGTAAGGCAGGTAATGCAGCAGAGGGTTCTTCTGACTTTTGTTTTAGAAGCTTGGCATGAACACCATGTACTGCTCTGTGATGTGAGGAGCTAGATTGCACCGGCGAGGGGACCTTCTCTCCAGATGCAGGTTTCACTCTTTCACCTCGTGCATGAGATGCTGGAGATGGAGATTCTGGGCACAGAGCTCCTACATTCTGAGAAAAAGAGTAAGAACGTCTCTTGCGAGGATGGTCTTCATCAAAAAACTCAATCATAAAGGCAGTCTGACTCAAACCAGCTTGCTCTTGCTGCTTTTCTGTGGAATGGACCTTCTGGTGTGACTTTTTCAGCTCTGTATGATGATGCCTTAAGTGCTCTTCAAGTGCTGCCCGTTTGCTGTAATGCCGGTGTGCACTAATATTTTCTGAATCACTCTGTGTACCATCATCATGCTTATTCCCTACAAGCAAAACAAAACAATGTACAGCACAATGAAACAAAGACAGACCCMAACATAGCATATACAAGAAAAGCAGAGTGTCAAACTAGAAGGGAAATTATTTCAAACTGGATTTCTGTTTGGACTCCAGCAGCTTACAGTACMTGGCTCCGCAAATTTTGTATAGTTCCTGGAAATGCAATTAACTTGCTACAACTCAAACAATAAAACATTTTAGAAGCTGATCAGTAACAGCAGTGCACTTGAATTATCCTCTCCCCAATACTCTCATCTGTGAATACTTATAGGTGACAAACAAAAGGCAGTATTTTASCAGCTCTACTAAAGTATGTTTTTGAATTATATCAGATGTGTTACAGAGCCAGTTGATTACAAATGACTACTGACACATTCCAGGCAGGGTTAAGAGGAAAACCATAATAAAGTCCTTCCGCCAGTGGAAAGAGAGCCACAGTTCATACTGCTGGATTGTTCCCACATTTACAACAGTTTATCATGAGAAATGTCTACCTAAAATTGGACTGAACTSTTTATTACTCTTTCCAAGAAGAACRACGAGTTTTTCCATAATTCACTCCACTGAGCATCTGATGTCTCCATGTAAAATGGTTGTTATTACTTATTCATTCCACAAACTACTCTGAGATCTGTGAATAAGGATTATATATTTCATAAATCATACATACACCTACAAATGTGCTTGGCAGTKATATCTGAAAGTGCAGGGAACACTGGATACTTACACATAGTAAGCCTATTTAACACAGAGCAACTTCATGTACAAGGAAAGCACCAATTCTCCTAAAGTTTTAGCTCAGTACCTGGGAAGGAACAATTTCGCCCTCTTTGAACTCTTCTGGATCAAGTTTTACTCATATGTATGTAGAATGTGCAGTTTTGTTATATTTAATAAGAGGATAGCTTTTTTAAGGTTTTCTCATTTATATAGTTAGGATATGCAGCTACTCTTCAGTTAAAWAGTAATTACATATTGGCTAATCTTACTTATCAGACTAATACCACTGAAAACACAGCTGAAATACCAATTTACACTCCTGTCTTCTACTYATTAGAAAAATGCCTACAAAAACGATAAGATTCATATATTTCCAAATAGTAATAAACCATTATCAATACCACAACAAAGTCACAAAACATGATTCTAGCAATGGAACTTCAGTAGAGAATATTATAAGAAAAAGCTGAGGAGAAAAACAACAGAACAGCTTAGAGTTTTTTAATAAAAATCAAACTTTCAAAGCAGCTAGGTATATTTTCTACCRAAAACCACAAGTAATGAGTGAGAATACAAACAGCCCACAGAAGATTATGAAATTCAGGCATTTATTATGGCCATATCCGTCCCATAACTTACACCTCATCCAGATAAAAATTAATCAGACTTTGAGACGTTTCAGGAAAAGGTTTATAAACAAAGCGTCTTTCTATTTATCAGTGTCATGGCAATATTTTAAAGGATGTCCATGAATACAATAAATTTACATGAAGGCCAAAGAATGTGATTTATACTAGAAGAAATAATGTACTTTCTGCTAGCACATTAATATCATTCTGTTTTCAGAATTTTAGCTTTAATGAAAGAGTCAGCCTGAGAAAGAAGACTTTTGTTCAGTAAGTCAAAGAACGTTGTACCCAGTCCCAGCTGGTCTAAGAGCTGAACATGATAATGTTGCAGGGCCAAGGAAAATGAGAATTGTAGGGTTAACCTGCTTTAATTATAAACAGAAAATGAGACTTGAAAAAGTTACAGTTTTCATTCTGAAAGTTTGAATGGCACTGGAATCTTCATCTGAACATCARGACTATCTGCTTCTCTGTTCTGTTAAGTGACACTGAAGAGAAAGTATGCTTATTTGTAACATTTGATTTAATTTCATTTGAAATGTCACTGCAATAAATTAACATGTATGGTCACCTGAAACTCCACTCTACAGCAGCGCTCTTACAAATACAATATTCCACAAGCTGAGTATAAAAATTGAAGCTCTTGCTTTATTTTCAATTTCTGACTCAAACTTGAGTCCACCAAACATGATCCATATAAGCAAAATGACTATGTGAGGTATCCTTTACCATAAATTATGTTCTTAGAACATACAAATATTCACAGAAGATATGCTGTTGAAAGAGTTGCTAAATGCATAATTGAACTTCAGAGCTTCGGTTCTAAGAAGCAATTCAGATTTAAAGTAATTAATGAAAAAAGGGAAATACTTAAAATTTAATAAGATCTAGGTTTTTTCCTTTCCTTTTTCAAGATCAATGTTTAAATACCTGATGTTTTCAGCCATACTAGAACATCTCCACTTAGCATACTGATTGTAAGATGATTCAGCATTTGGTTTCTTAAGCTCTTTTTAAGATTTAATTCAGCAATAAAATTTCCCAGCCCAGATCTTTGCACATATGCGGAGTATCTGYGATTTCAGCCGAACTCTGCAAGGACTCAGGAATCCTGTAACTGAATACTGGCGAGGAATTGCTGCTTTCAGAAACAAGCACAGCTGGAATTATTCACTTTACCTTTCAGTCTCTTCAAGTACACTGGAACGTCACTCTTAATACTTTTGGAATCCTCCTCCGTTGGTTCCCATATCATTCTYGGAGGATTGTTCTGTGCAAGCCAATCTGCTACTTTGCTCTCCGCAGCCATCATCACCGTTTGAAGCCCCGGCAGGTCCTGACCACTGGAGGAAGAAGGCTTCTTTGACTTGTGACGCTGMTCCGATGTGAATTTTGTCACGTGATCTTTGATCTTTACTTTTCCTGGAGTGTTGTCATCGAATTCAATGGTAAAGGAAGCATGCCCTGAAGCTGCTGCATGGGAGCTTTGGGTATCTTTTGTTGGAATTTCATGAATAGTGCTTTCTGCTACCTGTGCAGCTTGTTGGCATTCTTTAGTAGGGATTTCAAAATAACTGGGCTCCCTACAGAAAGGATAAAGTTCTTCACTAGCAGATGCAGATTGCTCTTCAGGTTGCTTGGCATCTGTGCTGCACCCTATTAAGAAAAATAAACAAAACAGATTTCACAATACTTGGGAACTTCAGGCTCTTCAAGAAGTTTCTGAACTCCTGTAAAGGCTACTTGAGTAATCTCTGGAATAACAGTAAGACTGTGGAGTAGGTTGAGCACCATAAGCCCAGAAAAATAATTCCAGAATTACAYACACAAAGTATTAATGAAAAGACAGTTTGAAATTTGGCTGTGAGAAGTGTAAAGTGGTAAAAAGCTCACTGAGTATTTGTCAAAGTGCATGCAAAATATTTAGAAGATGTAAAGGTCAGATGAGTTATTTCAGCATGGAAAACAAGTAAATGCAACAGAGAAATTGTTGAGATGATTATTATCACAATTCCAGTCTAGAAGGAGAAACATCAAATCAAGGTGCTCCCAAAACAAGTGTTAATGATCCAGCTTCCATCTCCTGAAGTGGATAGCTAGTATAATTTTGTTTGGCCAAATTCTTCAGAAAAAACATTCACACATTAATGCAAGATAAACATTAATTCTGGCTTGAAAAGTTAAACCCTGCTAAGCACTGTAACGTGTTTTGGAATTCAAACGCCTAATGTTTTTACAAAACACAAAACCAAAGACTCAAGTTAAATCCTACTGCCACATGCTCTTATTTTAGTTGTTGCCATAGTTCATGGATGAACAGAAAAAGGAACAATAGCTGGAAGCATGCAGAATGTTAGCAAGCCATGCTCTCACTGGCTAAAGAAAGCAGAAGTAGAAAAAGCACAGGGTAGTAAGTTCCTGTGGTTGCAGCAAAGCTACCAATGTGCCTTTAAGAAAACAAACCTTCTGGTTGCATTTCATGGCCTGCTAAGTCAGCCAAAATACCTGGTGCAGAGATGTGCTAAAAGCAACAGAAGCTTGAGACCTTAGCAGCAATGGCAGTAGATTACAGCAAAAGGATTCTGAATAGTTCCCAAGTGATTTATCATAGACCACACTGAGGTGTTCAAGAAATTATTCCAGGTTGCCAAATCAAGAAATAAACCTGCAGCTAATACATTTTGGATACTGAAAAAAGCCACACTACATCAGCTGAGATAGTACTTTTGTATGAAACTATTACACAGTAAGATAGGAAGAGAAACATTTATACTGAAGTCAGGAAATTAAGGGGCATAGGATGTAGGATGGAATAATGCTCCTATGCTGCTCCTCACAAACACATGCATCTTGTGAAGATTTAGAAAAAAGTTAAAAATTAAAAAAAATTTTAAAAGCATGGTAATTTGATATAGAGAAATGAACTATTACGAGAAAGAATAATAGCAGAAAATTAAAAAAAAAAAAAAGAAATTATTAAGTGAAAACAAGAACAGTACACATTCTTTATTATTGCCATGTTTGGATACCAATTGGATAAGAGAACTCCAATGCAGGCAACAAAGCTAATGCTTTTCACTGCACTATTAGATAATTTTTGTCTGTCAGGTAGTTTTCAAGTACTACAACAGMACCTCACTACTTCCCTTCCTGGGCAACAGAATGTCTTTTTACTACCCTTCCTGAAAGCACTTATGCCAGCAGACACACAATTCAGAATTAATCTATTTTACTGATGCAAAGGTAATTTAAAAAGCATCTCTGTTTATACAGAAAATGCACAGAAATAAACTAAAATCACACTTTGCAGCTCCTAGATTTTACCACCACTCTCCATTTCTTTAATCTAGATAACAAGCTGGAATAGATCAAGCTCTAGGAGGACCAAATCTAGAGCCTGGATCCTTACAGTATGAAACACAGTCACCAAAAAGGAGAGTAATCCACCACACAGCCAATGTACAGATAACTTTCCAACACCATGGTTCTACTCAGAACTTCAAGACAACAATAYCATGCGATTCCTGTAGCCAGTAATTAAGCCCAACATAGAGTTCAACGCTCCTTCAAAAAAGATACCTGGCTAATACAGTGTTTTGGGAAGTATTTCTACTTTGGGCAAGGCAGGGGCAATCTACTGGCCACACAAGACACAATATTTTTCAGTAATTAAGAAATAGCAGGTTTATTACCACCTTTTGAAAATAATAAGACTGTAGGCAAATTGCATCAGATGTATGGTAATAAGAGGATCTCTCACACTGGCTTGTCAGCACTGATGAAGGACTYAATAAAAAATTTCTGTGTGAAAACTGTCTGCACCAAATTTAACATTTCAAATCAGTTTATACTATAATAATATGCACAGGATTTGATTCCAAAATTTTAATTATGGTAGTATATAGTCTGAAYCTAAATTAAGACAGTTTAATCAAAAAAAGCAAGAAACTGAACTAAATTGTAAATTTTACTAAACTAGAAAAATTTTTAGCAATTATATAAACAAAAACATCTGAAGTATAAGTTAATTTTAATTACTTAAAAATCATATTTTCAGTCAGGAGTACTTGCATTTTCAGGAGAATTAAATGCATCAGAATTGATTAGAATAAGTAATAGAAAACAATGAGGATAAAAAAAATTAATATAGATCCTGATCTGAACCACACTTCAGTATTTTTCATGTAGATTCTAAATGCAAGTCCTTACAGCTTTCCAAATATTACAAAGAGTGATCTATAAAACAGCCTTATCTTTGAAATCCTATTATAAAATGTCATCTGCCAAGATGACGGAAATCATAAATCAGACTAAATACAGACACCTTCAAGAGAAACCTTCAAGCAAATACTGAAGATTGTGGTTGCCACAGCTCTATAATTTTTAAAAAAASAATAAACATAGTATGTGCCTAGCAAAAATGGCAATTGCAATTGTGTTTTGGGAAAATGAGGGGCTGGGTAGGTTATGAACTGCAATCTTTTCAGGGACTGAAGAGATTTTTGTAACTGGCAAGACAAAAAGGAAAGGGGCAGAAAAAGTAGCAGGATATCTGCTAAAAGGGAGCTCTCACTCTCCAAAGGTCCAGGGCTACAAAAGAACCGAGCAAGTGTTTCTAYAAGGCAAGCAAAGAAGCAATACTTGGTAGCTGCCAATTACAGGTGGGTGCGGTGACACCGTTATTGAAATTAGTCTAAGAGAGTCTATGTAATATTTGGGAAACCRTAAGTTTAACCAAAGGGAGATTCTGAGAGATCCTTCACTAGAGTAGATCTTATGAGGACTGATTGGAGGAGCTGGGTTTGTTTAGTCTCGAGAAGAGGACACTCAGGTGGGATCTCGTCACTCGCTACAAATCACTGGTAGGAGGCTTTAGTGACGTGGGAGCCATGCCAGCAGTGAGAGGACCAGAGGAAATGCCCTTAAGCTGACACAGGAGATTCGGGTAGATCATAGGAAGCTTTTTTTCATTGTCAGGGTGGTCAGGCATTGGAATAGGCCCAGGGATGTGGTGGAGTCATGATCCCTGGAGGGCTGCAAGAGCTTGCATCTGAATCTGGCACTGGGTGATGGTTCAGTGGTTTACGGGTTACAGTGCTGGGTGGATGGTTTGATTGAATGATCTTGAATGTCTCTCCCAACCCTGGTAATTTTATTCTACTTTACTCTGCGCTATGCAGAGATGATCATCAGAAATGCAACATTCACTTTGCGACATCAGTAGAATTGATTACACTTTCTAGGACTTAGGGTTTTTTTTAAAGTCTTATTTCTTAAGTTACACAAGTAGTCAGAATATTAACATTTTACTTGCCAACCTAGACAAGAAAAATCAAAGGTGTCTGTGCTATTCAGATATGCAAAATACTGCCTCTGTATGTTAACATATTATCATCTACAATGATAGGAAATATCAGAAAATACTTTGCATAATCTTCAGATTTTCAGTTAAGCTCTTTTCTTTCTGCCTTAAAAATACAATTTTAAGAATGAAACTCGTAAAAGAAAATTAACTGGAATTCACGAAGTACTTCCTGTAAAAATATCTGTAAACCTGGAACAATATATATGCAGTAGCTATAAGAAACAGTCAAGATATCATATTTACACAAYACCACAAAATATTTTTAATGTCAGCTTTATATCTGGACTGTGCAATGATACGTGTAACAAAAAGAAGCTGAAGCCAGGGCTTTCAAATGCTTAACAGAATTTTTTTTTCCTTTGTCTTTCTTTTCACGTTTCTACTTTTTATTTCCCACTTACATTTTACGTCCTTTTTGTTTACTTTGTGACTGAAGCAGATCTTTCATTTTTTATTTAAAGATAAGATGGCAATAAATACATATGATGATTCATCTAGTACTGAATATGAAGATCTTTGCCTTTTAATGTTTCCATAACCAGTCCTATGAAAAAATATAGGAATTGCTCTTTCAAAATAAAAATACAAACCAGCATTTAAAAAATAMCCATATCTCATAAAAATCATTTAACTATCTGATTTAAAGGAGTTTAAGTGAAAAAAGGGCAAACCTAATCTTAAATATATTGCTGTGATGGGTCTAAAGAGTTCTGTAAGCTGCCCATGACACATTTGTTGCTAGAGCTCTGCAAAGAAAGCCTTACATATGCAGCACTTGCACATACTTTATGACAAAACTCATTCAAATTCTAGAACAAACTTCTAAGAACTCAACTGCTAATACCAGTGATCAAGCATCACACGTTACAATGTRTATAATCTTCTACACACCATGATTCCACCAGCATTTCTAAAATAACTGTCAGCCTGCTTCACCTGAAAATAACACTGTTCTGTAAATACAAAGAATGTTCAATCTAAGAAATTCTTACACATTTTAAAGTGCTGGAATTAAAATTCATGCCAAGTGAAAAAAAAAGTACTTCAGATTCTTAAGTCTTCTTAAAAACTTATTTCTGGCTTCTCTTAAGATTTGTGGTAAAGGTATTAATGTCATAAAATTCTACAGCTACTACTAAGATCAGCAGAGAATGCAGCTTTCATTTATCCAGGAAGTGGGAGTGTAACATATGGCAATAATAATAATTACAAACCAGRTAAACCTGCCAATAACATGGACACTAAACAGCTGCAGCATAAAGTCACACCAGAGGTGTATACACAACTGCTCAATTTAATACAGCCAAGTAGAACTATAGATCATTAACTTAGAGCATTACATATGTATTACATATGTCTGAAAAATGTGGAATGGATTTTTCTTTTTAAAGTTTTCCAGGCTGTCCTGCTCTGTTTGTAAATAATCTTCATCAATGAGATTCTGTTGTGATAGAAATATAGTWACATTAAAATAATCTTATTAACTTGAGACTGTAAAGACTAATTGTCTGTCATTGGCTTAGCAGAGACAAATCTCCCACTTCAATCTCCTCATTAAACCTTGCCCCATCTCTTAGAATTCATCTTCTTTTCTATTCAGTAAATAATCATTAGGCATGATGCACATTCGTAATAGGATTACTTTGTTAAAATGTTATCACACTTTATCTGAGTTAGTTTAAGAATTCACCTGTAATGTACTTACTTTTAGGCAGTTTATATTAAAAAGCATGTCCCAGATCAGTGTTTTAAACATTTTATACAATTTAACCCATGAAAGAATAATTAACTAGATCAATTTTAAACATTTTTATTACAGTTTGCTTATAATTAAAAAATATCCAAGCGTGACAGTCATGTGAAGTTTCCAATTTTCTTTTCTACAAGTGTTTCGTTATACTGACTTCCTATTGTTATATTCATCTCTATTATAAAATCTAAGTGCTTGAAGAAAACACATAACTGGTTGAAGATAAATTAATCTTTTCATAGAACATAACTGTAGGCCAAAGCAGCCCAAAAATCCATGATTTTATAATTGCATAAAAACATTCAGAATATCTTTTGCACACTGCTACACAGACATTGTATTCCGAGATTGAGGAAGTGTGTCCACATAAGCAAATGTCAATTTTTATATGGTTTGCCTTCTCAGACTCTCTGCCGACACTGCTAAAAAAWATCTACAAAAATCAAAACCCAGACTAGTAGGACACACAATTAATGTCTACTCAGGGATTAAGTGATCAAAATAAAGAAATCATTTATCTATACATGGGATTTATCAATCACAAATTGATTGGTTTTGCAAAAATGTCAGGTTTTGGATTTTTCTCAGCAGTGTCTTCCTTTCACATAAGCTTTTAGTATGTGCTTATTCAAACTTAATTCCATTCCTGCAGATTTATGAGTGCTTTCAGTCTGAGGAAATAAAAGCTACTCTTATACTCTAGTTAGATCAATACTATTCATAGGAGATACATAGTTAAACAAAAGCAACATCATAAAATACAAGGGATTTGTAATATCTTTTTTAAAAAAAGGAAGAAATGCTGCATTTGCCTTTGGGCATAAATTGAGTTTTTTATAGTGTATATATACATATATATATAAAACAAATGAACAAATTTAAATACCTTAGAAAATATTAAACCATTTTCTCTATTCATCATTTACCTTATGATTACTTCACTAAGCAAATCACGTCAAAAATATCCCCATTACTGAAGTTCAGTCTAGAACAAAATTATTTTTGTCTACTACTGAAACAGATGGCATCTCCATGATTAGTCTGAGTACAACTTGGAATTTTGTTTTTTTATTGGAATGCAAGAACTAAGATAGAAGCACTGAACACTTGCTGAAAAATCTCCTGATAAGTAAAAGAGCAGGTAAACCATTTGATGCAAAATTGCTTCTGAAAAAAAGCAATTTAAAATTTTAAAAAATAAGAGCAGTACACTACTAAATACAAGCTGGCATTGCGTCATACCCTGTTAATGCCATGGCATCACATCAAAAACACAGACTTTATGATATTCCTATTCAATAATCCCATATTTAATGAGGGAGAACAACATGCATGATTTTYAGATTAAAACAGTGTGAATAGATACACACCAGTGTGAAAAGCTTGATGAATTCTTACTTTTGCTATACTAGTTTGCTACAGACATTGGCATCTAACCAATAAACCCACAGACACCAGAGGCTTTACCATCCCTAATTTGGCATATGCAGCAAGATACAGAGTCACAGGTTTCATAGCCAATAGTTTATGCTTCTTGAAAACTGCAAAGCAAAGAAAATAATGTGGCCAGCAAATGCCACAATGGCCATGATCAATGATATGACTCAAAGGCAAGGACTTAATTATTTTTCTTTTTAAAAGATGGCATCAACACTTTTCCTTTTTGTTGAGGACAACAGTCATTGTCCTTCATTATAGCTGCCATTAGGAACAAAATTTCTATTTCTTAGGAATGCTCAGAAATGTTTGAAGAACATATTTCTAGACAATATTTGAACTGTAAAGCTACAAATTATAAATGTAGGATTTTAAACTCATAGTTAAAAAGCTCCCATAGGAGTGTAAAACAGCATACTSTAGTCATGCTGCGTACTGGACAGATATTTTTCATCCAAAAGATAACAAAATAAAGAAGTGTTCTCTAACTGTACTGCATTATGATGCCKTTCTTTCATACAAGACAAAGTGGACTAAGGTGAACTAAAATGGTCAGTAATTTAAATGTTTTCTGGTTTCTTTATCCTAGCCCAAATGCTTTCTGAATGATGACAACTTCAGAATAATATGAAAAAGGTCATTAAAAAGGCTATGGCAAAAAGCTAATTCCAAAGACCTYGGTTTCACCACATTGAAATGTTTATTTAGTTTGATTTACAAGTTTTTAGAGTTCACTCCGATCCCTGTAAAGCATGATTCAAGCTAACCAAGGCAAGTACTAACACAGGAAGAGAACAATTCTCATCTCAACAACAGTACTCAGAAAAACTGCAGCCTTAAAACTGTTGGACCTTAAATGCRTGTCTGAAGAGCTAAAGAAACATGGTTGAGTTTTGTCCTAAGCTGAGTAAGTTTTAAGGTTATTCTCTTCATTAGAATAACCGTCACTTTATTTATATGCCTGATGACAGATATAAAAGCCTAATTATAGGCACTGAGACTGAAGTTTTGGCAATACCTACTGTGTCTAGACAAGCCAGCTAATAAAAAGGTCTGTATTATGGGAAATAAACATTACCAGTTTAACTTTAGACTATATAAATCTTTACTTCAAGAACTATGACAGTAAAGGCAATTCCCACTAATACAGGATTATTGAATGACAGAGGAGAATGTTAGCACAGATAACCTTATATAGCTAAAAGTCAAATACAAATATAAAACACCATTTATATTCAGAAATTATTTCAATAAAATATTCCTATGAATATAAAATGACAGATATATTAAACTTATTATAGATAAGAAACACTGATTCAGGTAATGTTATTTGCTATACTTACTGATAGAAAATTATATTATATACTAGAAAACTATCACATTATCTGTGAATTTGATCTCTGAAAATGCATAGTTTCTCACAAAATATATATTTTTAAACTACCCTAAGTTTTAATAGGCATTCATCTATGCAAACCGTGAAACTTCCAAACATTAATATCTGTTTAGTTCCCTAGTTAAGAATATATGCAGTTCAGTAAAGAGAAAAAAACAAACAAAAATAAGACAACAGACTTACCTGAAGCCCCCATCTCATGCATTTTTTCTTCATGCTTGCTATCTGGCTTACAACCACCTTTTTCATCAGCTTCATCTTCACCCCACCAGGCTGGCTGCCCATACAAAGGTGTTCCACGAGGCATGGCAGAAAGATCTATAAAATCAGCCCAACGCAGAAGTATTACTTTTCTGTTTAGCTGTGATATTTAGGTTAAAATAACATGAAGAGAAAGTAATTTGCTTGGATCATTTCTCCTGGAAGCTGAAGTGAAATCGTTGAATGCATGTGCCTAAATACAAAACAAACTTGGAGGCTGGACAACTGATCTGGGTTCTAAATATAAAAGCTTACTAATGACCTGATCAAAATTTCTGGCACAAATGTTTATGCAAAGGTGGCTGGCATCTSTAATTATTAGACTGATATATCTGTAAATATTATTTCTTCTTTCAGTTTGAAGTCATCAGGACAGCAGTACATTCCTAAAAAYGGTTTGCTGCTATTTCTGTAAGAAGATTCTCGTTCTTACCCACACTGACCTTTCAATGAAATCTGAACTCACTGCATGTAAAACTGATCAAATTTTGCAATGTTGCCAGGGCTCCAAATTGCTGATAGCTGCTAGAGAGTGCTAAAAGTTACCTTGGGTGTAAAACATTACTAAGCACAACCAATTTCAAAGGTTGGGTTTTTTTAAAGGTATTACTTACATCACAGTACAATTAAAAGTACTATTTCTGATGTAAGATATATGCACAGGGTTAAAGATATTTAAATGCAAAAATTAAATAAGGAAAAAACACTGATAATTAAGATTTCTAACATGATGAAAAATTGGCAGAATTAGGTTTGACCTGGTCTCTTGAAAGAATACTTCACCCTACAGAGATTTAGCTATTCTAACATCATACAGATGTTCCAAATATACTTTAAGAGTCTTTATATAAAACCCCATAATTGTTAAAACCTATTTCAGGAGCTTGTCTGTAACTTTACCTATTAAGAATATAAACATTCTTTTCAATGTTTTATACAYTTGCATTACAAAGATGATTTCATAGCCATGTCAAGAGTTTCAACATGATTTTAAGATATTAAGTATTTCCTTTTTACACAGCATTATGCCTTAGTCAATACTAAATTGTTTTTAAAAACTTGATGGTTGCACAGAGAATTTGTGGATGCCCCATCCCTGAAGTGTTCCAGGACAGGCTGGATGGGGCTTTGAGCAACTTGATCGGGTGAAAGGTGCCCCTGGCCAAGGCAAGGGGGTGCAACTAGGGGATCTTTAGGKYCTGTTCCAACCCAAAYCATCCCATGATTCTATTCCTTTGCACTGAATTAGCAACAGTGAACAGTCATGTGTATATGTAGCAACAGTGAGAGAATCAATTCCCAAAAAGCTTCTGAGAGCTGCACTCAAATATAAACCCCTATCCTTAAGTCCGAGTGTCATTTCTGGGAGAGTGAAAAGAAAAATAGAAGATGAGGATAAAAAAAYCCCACTATGCTATTTTATGTACCTTTAACAGGATGCTGGATTAGACAACAAAACAAACAATTAACAACAGGTTAATTAGGTATACCACAGAATCCTATATCTGGGGAAGAGAATTCTTTCAAGTGATTTGTCTGGAAGAATTCATGAAACCTAAACAAAACTGTACAGCCCTGACCTAAGGAAATCAGACATAGACTCTTCTGTATTAAGGAAACAACAGTGCCTGATTCCCTTCTCATTCTTGTGGTTATCTCCCCTACATTTCAGCAAGCCTCATGCTGAAGCTCATCACAGGATCAGAGAATGGTTTGGGCTGGAAGGGACCCTGCCACGGGCAGGAACATTTTTCACCAGACCAGTTTGCTCAAAGCCTTGAACACATTCAAGGACATCCACAAATTCTCTGGGCAACCTATTCAAGTGGCTCACTACTCTCCCAGTAAAAAAATTCTTCCAAACACCTAATTAAAATCTCTCCTCTCTCAGTTTAAAACCATTCCCCCATGCCTTTTATCACTATCTGCCTGTATAAAATTTGCTATCCCTCTTTTTTACAAGCTCCCTTTAGGTACTGAAAGGCCGCTATGAGGTCTCCCTGGAGGGTTTTCTCTAGGCTGAATAACTCCATCTTCTTCCCATCTCTTTGATTYGCTCCAACAGGTCCAAATCCTTCCCAATATTGAGGGCCAAGAGCTGGATGCAGTACAACCCATACAAAGTTAAAACAACCACAGCAGAGCCACCTTAACATATGACATAAATATGAAAGATGATGTAGAAACAAGACAGAAGCTACAGTATCTACTAATCTTTAAACCACAATASAACACTGAGGTTTTATCCTGAAATATCCAACAATGAATGCTAGTAACTATCAAACAAACTCTCACCCATTTTAAAAGGAAAAAACCCCAAACCAACCAAAGCAAGAGTCCAGTTGGTAATGCTGATAGTAAAAAGTACAAGCTGTTTCTGAACAAAATACCTTCAGTTACATTGCAAAAAACAGCAATTTCCTGCCATAAATGCTGTAAATTTGTGAATTTGGGAAAGAGACATACAAACATCTTATAAACACTGATTAAATCTCTCCTTAAGAGGTTTCCTACCATATGGATGTTACTATTAAAAAGGCAGAGATTAAATTCCAAAAATTATTTTAAACACCTAAGTTCAATATGTGAAATCTTTACTATCTACAGAATTTTTGCATCCAGCTGAAGCAAATTAACAAMCTGTCCAATTGTCTGTGCTTCTGCAGCAAAAAAAAAGAACCTTACCCACTGTTTTTTCTTCAGATTTCAGTGCTTCTGTAGTCTTGTGGTGCACTTCAGCTGTGGAGTCTGTTACCTTGGACTCTGAACTTTTGGAGCTGCTTTGTTTCGATCCTTCTGCCTCTGAAGATTTTTGGGATAACTGGAGTTGGCTTGTGAATTTTTCATGCTACACGACATTAAATAGAGAAAAAAAACATAACCCCTCTAAGAGTGGGAAAAAAATCCCTATATTGTAGTAACTACACAATGACAGAAAAACATCCAGGATTGGCATATTGTTACCTTAAGTGCTTCTTCAGGGACTCTCATCTCTCCCCTGACCACCGTAAAAAGATTAGTATGTAGGAAATGATAAGGAAAATACTGAAAAAATTCTGAATACACATGAGGATTTTATGGAAAAGCAGCAACTGTGCAGCCTATTATGCCACTAGAACACTGAAAGCTTTTAAAATATGTTATTGTTAGGATATCATGCACTATGATACTCATCAAAGCAAATGAAGTTATTTACTATTTGTAAACAGAACACTGAGTGAATTCCTTAGTTCTAATAATACATGTATTTTTTTTTTATTCGCTAGTTTGCTAAATAATTAAATGTAGTCTATCTGCTGGTATACAAATGATATATAACACAAATATTTGTGCATTTGCCTCAAAGAAAAGTAGTACTTTTTAGCGACATGGAAGATACACATGATGTTTTAAACAGTATTGAAAGTTGAAGTTTCTTGCAGTAAGATACAATGAAATGTACTTCATCAATAGTTGAGACCAAGGTAGAATATYTTAAACTCTGAGATTTTATCTAATACAGGCATTTTTGTAGTAAAGAGAACCTTTCATTTAACACAACCATACTTGTAACAACAAAAGTGTGTCCCGAACTGTGCATTTTTATGGCAAGGATATCATATCCAAATCTCAATTTATCTTCTAACTTCAGAGTGATATATGTCTGCTCTGGAATCCTCACATCATTCACAAACGTCTAGAGAAATAAATGAGAACAGAAAGAATTATTACACTATAAATTCCAAAACAATAAAATTAAATCACTTAAATAATTTTATAAGCAAGTTTTCAGCACCAAAAATTTTCTTTCTTTCTTTCTTTCTTTTGGTGGTTCAGAAGGAAACAATAAGCTCAAATTGCCAGATGCTTAATAAACTATGTGAAAAGCAAGATTCAACATCAGTTGCTAACCCAGTTGCACACTGGCCTTGAAAAATTCCTTGCACGTTTAATCTTGTTAGCAATATTTATGGAAGTGTTGATTAATGTTCCCTTGAATTAGCACCTCCACTTCCTACTTTTCTTGTWATTTGCTTTTTCAATGCCAATTAACTGCCAGAATTGATTTATCTTCATACTTGTAAAGCATTTAGCATTGGATATGAGAGTTCTGAGGTAGCTTATTTCTAATCTTTGCCAAAGGACTTAAGGAAAACGTGGACCAATTTAGTGCATCTCAGMAACACCTAAAATCAGCAGTAAGAATTCAGTATATTGCAATCCTACTTCATGCTACTTCTAGCTTACAAATTCTACAACAACACGTGCATGTTTCTAAAGAAAGAAACAATTCAAATATACCRTTTTATAAGCACTATGAAGCTGGAAAAACTTGAACCATTGAGTAAGCCAAGAATCTGAACCTTTGAATGGTTGTGTTGCTCATGAGCCTAGTATCAAATGAACTGTGGTTAGAAACAGTCTCCTTCCCTAAAACAGTACGAGGATTTTCCACTTAATTTTCTTTTTCTAAGGGAAAACAATGTTAATTTCATTAATTAAAAAACTGTTTACCTACTTAATAGAAAATATCTTCCATGGAAAATAAGAGGTACAACTATTGACTGGCTTGTAAGCATAAAACTTTCAGTAATGTTTCAGGCTTATTTATTTCACTTTAACGTTTTGAGAGTCCAGGGCAAAAATCTATGTGAAGACTATGCTCAGAGCAATCTGAATTTTAGTGAACCAACAAAATTTAGGCCAACTTGCACACATATAAGTATACATGGATGTATGCATTCTTCCAGGCCAGAGCTCTGAAATGTGGGTGCAGACAGCATATCCAATTCAGAGAACTCCAAAGGCTGTGTGTGCAGTCTACTGACATCCTCAGGTTTGTGACTGATGGCAAACAACAACCAGTCTTAGTTACTCTGCCACTGGAGCTTTAAAATCTCATCACATGCTTTGGGATGCAAAACAAATTTAGCTTGAAAAAGCCAGTTACTGTGCAAATAAGGAATCCTTTCCCCCTTTAAATCATTCCATTCATATGAATTCTACAGTTTATTCTTCAAATAGTGAGAGTCAGCTGTCCTTACACCTTCACAAAATTTGCTAGGCTAGTCCTGAAACATCAGTGTGAAAGGACTTGGCTATCCGGCAAATATTCCTGAGAAGAATGCTATTCAACAGGGTCATGGATTTTTAATAAGTTTTCTGGTATGTTTTTGAGTTCACAAGTCRAAGGAGAAAATATAGTTGAATTATACTGACACAAGGGAAATAATAATTACATATTAGAAACTCTACACTTTTCTTCAGAAAAGAGAAATCCCTTCATTTTTTGTAAGAAAAAAAAAAAACCCAAAAACAGAATGAGTCACAACAGACTATCACAAATAAAATTTTACTTAATGTAAAACTGATTAAAATTTATTTTTCCTTGATTTTCAAATTTAGATGCTCAGAATAAAGACTTCTAAATCTATAAGTTTAAGGAAAGGATGCTGCAACCGTTTCACTGAACTGAGCGTGAATCAACCATACATATAGGTATTAGGGCATTAGGTGCAATTACAGTTCCGCTTGTGAAATTACAACACTCGTAACACTCAAAACGAAAGCATTGGTGGTAGCCATCTTCCCTTAAATCTAAASTATTCTGAGTGGTTAAAGTGCATTACACCAGGAACAGAGTAGTCCTGTATACCAAGAAAAGCATGTATCTTCTCAAAAAAGATGGGACCAACTGGGGAGACAYAAAATAAAGCTTTTGATAAAATATGCAAAGAAAGAAAGGGTAGAAGCTGCTGAAGCACCAGAAGAGGCATTTGGCTGCTAGGGAGGTGGTGCTCTCAGTGGAAACAGTAGCTAGACTAGAAGAATTATTGCCTAGTWATCAGTTCACTGCATGGTACTGAGGCATTGCATACATTGTTCTGACACACAATTAAGCATGGTGTTACAAAAGTAATGTTTTCTTTTTTAACCTGAAATCAGGGAGGCAGAGGTATGAAAGAAAAGCAGAGCGGGAAAGTGATAGTAAGGAAAACACTGCAGAGACAAAGAACAAGGACTGAACTCCTGAGACTTAATATTCCTTGCCCCAAAACAGTGGGAAGAGTTCCTCTGATGTCTCTGAGTAAACAGCTCTAGAGAAACTGAAGCTTCACCTCAAACTTCAGAATAAATTAGATCAAGTGAAGCAAATCATTGAAAGCACTTTATCAGAGGCAAAAAAAAAAAGCTGAATGAAGGCCTTTAAAATATATTTCTATTAAATTCCAGGTTTGTGACAAGGCAAGAAAATGTGAAAGTGTGCCTATTGACTTGAAAAGTTACAGAATTAGGGAATAAAATCAAATGGCTCAACAAAAAACTTCTATGTGCTGAATTTATTTTTCATCACTGCCTTGAAACAGTGCAATGACTTTGAAAATACAGAAGTATATTAAATATTTAAGGACCAAAGTCCTTGTATGTCTACAGCTGTTCAAAGGATATAGCCCTTCAGTGGTTTCACATGCAGTTGAGACTGACTTTTTGGAAGGTTGAGTTAGTTACCTTAAAATACAAAAGAGCTAATAGAGACACAGTGACAGGACTTTTTTTCTTTTTTGAAATGCACTTCAAGATCAAAAGGCAGTAACGTGAGATTTCTTCTTCATCTTCTATTTTTTTAAGCAGCAAACTTTCTAAATATTAATTCAAATAAGCAGTCACAGGTGAACTCATGATTTCATTCTGTACATATTCATGACAGAGCCAAACATTTAAAGTTATAAAATAATAACCATAACTAGTGCAAATAACAGTTCCCAAAGAATTATCTAAAGTGCTACAAAATTATTACAATTTTAATAATCTGCTATAATATCAAAAATACTTATAAGAGGGGATGCTTAACTAGACTATTGTCTATGCAATTCCTAGAACACCATAAAATGTAACATGAAAATTTACTTTTCTCATAACTTTGGATTTTTCCTGTATTAGTTTGCAATTACCTGACAAAAATTATTCATAGATATTTTAATAAAAATTATTCTGACAAACCATATGCAAATATAGAATCAGTTACATAGGTTTACATACAACATGGCTATTACCTACTTAATTTTTTTCCACGTATGAACTAGTTTAGCATTCTTTTCTGTATTGTAACAGAAGAAAAATGAATAGTATATGAAATAAAATCAATATCATAATGATGTATTTTAGAGACTGAATTATGYTGGGGTTGTTCCAAGATTCTATTTTTTCCTACAATTCTTAAATACAGCAGTATAACATATTGTTCTGAGCTTTTTATTGTTCTGAGCTTTYTTCCTACTCCTGAGGCCCTCTTATTACAGGAATTAACTGCAGCCCTTTAAAAAATGTACAGTGGAGAACCCCTACAAAGACTACACTTTCCTTCTGAATGTTCCCCCTTGCATTAGAAAGGTATTAATGTACAATTAATAATTGCTCAATGAAATCCCAAAACGAAGAATACTGAACACTATTGGGAGCTATCTATTTCTGATATTACTTACCCCATTCAAGCTGCCCAAATCCTTCACCAAGTGTTCATCTGTAGAGGCATCATAGTTGAGTACAGCATGTTGCTTGTCCACACTCCGTGACTAAAATATATTAAGGAAAATAAAATCAGGTATTTGAAAACCAGATGAAGATAGCAGTAATGGCTATTTCCTAGAGCAGCATGATTATTTTCTTTTTACATAGCACATTTATTCAAGTTATATAAAAACATTAGTCTGACATATGAAAAAGACAATCCCTAAACCAACTCTGGGCACCCACAGCCGAATCAAAAAATAAATTCAGAATGTTTTTTTTTTAATGTATCCCTAAATATGATGATAAGTCAAATCCAGATATATCTTATCCAAAGGTTTTATTTCTTTTCAGTTCACTCTGGTATCACCAATATTTAACCTAACATCATCAACTTCATCTTTATTTCTTACTCTCTCTCTCCCTTTAATTACATGCATCTTTCAAAACATGACTGTGATTCTGGGATGTTGCTGTTCTCTCTGAAACACACCATTTCCTGTTACACATCTGGGATTAGTACCATAGTATACAAGCATTCAAATTGTTTCTCCTTGATCTCAATTTCCTGAATCAATTAGCTGTAGCATCTTTACTAATGTCTGAGCAGTTCCTGAGTTATTATTCCCATCAATTCTGACTTTCTCACTCCTTCCTCAAGCACTTCAGCATCTATTTATTTATTTAATGAATTCTTTATTTCACAGCCAAACATCACCAGGCAGATGAGGAACAGTCCTTGATAGTATTTTATTCAAGAACAGCAGCTCCCTAACAGCTGAGTCCCTCTTTCAGCACTCGCTCATGGCCAAATGTTTGCAGCTTCAGGTGCTGACAGCAAGCAAGGGAGATGGTGCTGGATATGTGTCCCCTTCATGCATCCATATGGTCAGCACCTGGACATCTACCAGAGTTCCCAAGTGAATGGAGGCCACAGCTCATCTTCTCCATCTGCCCACACTTGAGCTAATGTTTGCCAGTAATTCTGCTAGTGCACTGTCACTTGATTGCATAGCAGCAAAGTCTTCTACMAGCATTCTTCCTCAYTWCAGGTTTTAATCTTCTATACTTGCTACTCAACTCATTTTTCAGGACTATATTGCACAGAGCATGGTACATTTCTGTCTGAGGCTTTTGTGACTTCTATGTACCAGCATTTGTCATGTGTCAGTTCTAGGAGTCCAGCCTTACTCGTGCACTAGCCAGTTCAAGGCATCAGGACACACAGGAGCTTCCTCTCCTTGGAATCCAATAGTTACCACCTCGTTCCCTCTCCATTTCTTGAGACTTGATAGTATTATCTTCCTTCCTTTTTTCAATTTACTTTCTCATCCTTCCTTTCCATGCAAACTTTCGACTGCTTTGCTTTCTCCTCAAAGAAGTGAAATCAGTGTTCTTCTGCTTATACTCACTATTTTATTTTTAGACTTTCTATTTTGCTCTGCATTCTTGAGAGGTATAATGAGGGCAGCAGGATATCAAAGGGGAGTGGAGAATAAGGGAGACAGACAAATGAACAAATTCCCTGACAATATAAGCTSCACCAATATACTTCATCACTTAAGTGGTTTTAATGGCAAATGAAGATACAGCAACATGGTTCATTTTCTACTAACTTAGCAACCTTTCAAGTGAAAACAATCTCAACACAATGAAATTCGTTGATGTGTATATTCTGCTAGGCCTACCATATCAAACAGAGATTACATTTTTTCATGCTTGAGTGGAACCAATGAACAAAGAGTTAGCCTCTTTTTACCTAAGCTATTGAAAAAAATTCTGAACTTCTTTCAAAGTTGTTATTCCAATACATATTATATGTATTAATAATAATTCAATTCTTTATGCACTATATCCTATTAAAAATAAGTTAAAACAGAAAGGACACAAAAAGATCCTCAAAGTTTCATGAAAATGTCACACCATTTGAAATGCTGAGAATGGTTACTCAAGTCTGTGGCTTTTACAGAAACATTTGAAATTCTGCAGAACATTGCAGTTCTCACGTTCAGATTGCTTGCATACAACTGGACATACTTTTCAGTCATTTCAGCTGATCTTTACAGGTGCAAAGACCATGCAAGTCTTTTAAATGCCTTTTTCCTTTGGATTCTTCTTGCAGCCTTCCATTAAAATTCAAGGGCTTTTAAAATTCCTTTTTATAAGACAGCAGTGCCCTGGCTGACAGCTAAACACCACACATCTGCTCACTCACCCTCTGCTGCCCCAGTGGGATGTGGGATAGAGCAGGAAGAGCAAAAGGAAAAAACTCACAGGTCAAGTTTCAGCAGCAAATAAAAGAGGAAGAATGAAGAAGAACTAAAACAAACCAAGTGATGAGAAGGCCTCACCACCTCTCACAAGCAGCCCAGTGCCCAGGTAGTCTTTAAACAATGGGTGTCTTCCCCAAAGCCCCTGCCTGAGTCTTTATTGCCAARCACAACGCATTATATGTCATGGCATATCCCTTTGGTCAGTTTGGGTCAGCTGTCCTGGTTGTGCTCCCTCCCCACTTTTTGGGCACACCCCAGTTCAAATGTGTGTAGGAGGAAGAGTGAGGGAGAATGCCTTGAAACTGCACACACACTGTTCAGAATCAGCTAAAATAGTAGTGTTATCAACAGTGTTTTTGTCACAAATCCAAAACACAGTACTGTAATGGCTTCTATAAAAAGAACRACCACCAACCAGCTAGATCCAGTACAAAGATTTATACATAAAACTGCAGAAATAAGACTCGCAGAGTAACTGTAGTAAAAGCCATATGAATATGAAGAGGAAAACACCATCCTCAATAAAAGTAAATTTCTAATTGGTGTTACTTTAGATAGATACTCTTCAATCCAGACCAAGAAAATATTCAGAATAAATAAAATAAATGCCTTCTTCTTTGCAAATAATTCTGATATTGTAAAAAATGTAGGTTTTTATTTCTTGGAGATGATTTCTCCATCAACATTCAAAAAKATTTTTAACCATAAAGGTGAAATAAGGGGAGAATACAGTATTTATCTACAAGCAAGCTGATGCAGAGGAGCAGCTAGCCAAACAGGAAGACTTCACACTATGTTTGAACATATCTACAAAAAAAGGCAAATCTATATTCCCAGACGTGAACAAAACTTCTTAGAACAATGGTGTAAGGTACAGATCTTCGGTCTATCAAGCATGAAACACAGTTGGAATTCTTTTCATTAAGGCTTTTATAACATGTTTTCTGTCAAACAGTTATGAATAAAAGCATTAAATTCTGCTTTCTTTATCATGCATTGTCCACATGCTTTGCACTAASAGAATAACCAAGTTGTCAAGAGTGGAAAGGAAGGTCCTGCACAAAGAGCTATACATACAGAACAAGAACCCATTATTAGCTTCTCTTTTGGTGGGTTCCTCCCCCTGAAGCACTATGTGGTGTTACAGTCATGCTGGCATGTAGACCTAACATAGCAGCAGGCTAAAATGCATATTCTTGAAAATCACCAGGCCCCTTGATTCTTTTCATTAACTGTGAAGTGGATACACAACAAATAATGTTTGTAAATAACTCAAATCTATTCACTGTGTTAATCAAAGAGGCAACTACCTTTGAAGGTGAAGTTCTGCACACAAAATAATAAATGCTTCACTCTAAGGACTGATCAACCAAGGATGACATAGCAGTGAAGAAAGAAGACACTCCCTTATTCACAGACAAAAAAAAAMCAACTCTACAACAAGTTACTAGTAAAATAAAAGCATTTTTTGATTATAATCTACTGGGCAGGAACCAGTGGGGTGGGGTGTTTTGGTTGTTTTTCTTTTGTTGTTTTTGGGTGTTCGTGGGTTTATCTGTGCGTTTGTTTCATTTGGGKTTTTTTAAATACTTCCCAAATAAATTATCAATACATCATCCTGTCACTACAGAGAACTTAAGAGTGTTTTCAACTGCTTTCTAACATCACCAATAAAATATCTGAATGCCTTCTGAGGCTGAGAGCCAATGCAATTTACTAGAGATGCTACATTCTCAGTAATACACGTAAGATTACATCTCTAGGCACTTCATTTGCAAGTAAGATTCTAATTTGGCTATAAATGGCTGCATACATAACTTTAGGGTACAAAAAATCCAAAATAAAGTATTTTATTGAATAGTAGGAAGGGTTGAGAATATTAGCGTTGAAGTTCAATCTTCTTAAGAGCCTTACTGTAAACAAAGGCAAAAATTTAAGAAGAAACTTCCAAAATACTACCATTAGTCATTCAAAAAATATATATTTTAGAAAAAGGCAGTTCAGAAGACTACAGCTTTGACAGAACAAAGTGCATGCAATATGGCTACATAACAACACAGTTACACACATTTAAGAGTTCCACAGAGTGATCCTCAAAGCTGAGGAAGTTACTGAAGGATCAAGCTATTTTGACTCGTATATTTTGAATTCTACTGAAATTGAGTCACTCAACTTCCTTAGAGATAGACAAATACTCTTCTCTACTAATTTCATTTTCCTTTGTGCAACACAATCAGGGCATGGGGACAGTTACATCAAATCATGTGACTAAATTAGATTACAACTAGCTGAAAAAAGAAGGCTCCTTTCAAAAGCATCCAGTGCTCTCAACATTATCACATTTTATGGAACAGAGTCTACTTACTTGACTTATCATATTGAAAAATTTGTTTCATCTTATATTCTTGAATTCTGTATATGACTTACACAAAGAAAATGTCTGATTCTCTGTACTTAAGCAGTAACTGTATGATTGATGGCAATACATTTAAACTATTTTTTTTTCTATAGACACAAAAGATTCTTCCGAACAATTTCTCCCCAACMTCTGGGAATTTATTGCACAAAAGGAATGCATGAAACCGGTCATTAAGTTCACAATTTGAGCAGCTGCACATGGAAGGCTGATGCAATTACCTGTAACATCAGCTCACAGTCATCTCTTCCAACAAAAATCATTTCTCGTGGCAGCCTATGTCGGGTGCCTCCACTGCTCACCAAAAACCAGGATGTTAAGCTCATTTTCTGCTTAGCTGATAAATCCTTGGCAAAGCTACGTCATCCTGCAGGGAGAAAAAGAGACAGAGAAACTCATTTTAGTTATTTTTAGCTACAGTTTCTGCTCAGCAAACACTGTGAGCAGAATACCAAAAGCCTSTGAAAATACAGCATTCTCAATAGCATGTACTGAATCCAGAAATCACAGGAAGCAACAGGCTTCAGATTCACATACTCTCAGACTCTGCCTCATGCAACTAGGCAAATTTAATTGGTAACCTTCTACAGAAGGAAGAAGCAGCTAGCTAATGCCAAAGACATATGTCAAGTTGTCAGAAAGCTTTTAGCACTGACTACTTATTATCAAGATAATTGCTACAATAATGCTTCACTATCTCAACCAATACACAATGTGGCAAACATTCACAAAATAGAGCAAGTAACTTACATGTACGTCATTGCATTTTCCTGTGAAAAATAACTACTTCATTTGATTTTAAGCTCAGGTCCTCTGTACACCACCAAAGGAGCTTTCAATTAATGGARCTTTTGCTTCTCATTTAATCTCAGATTTTCACAATGAAACATGTATTTTGGAAATGTAACAGGGTGCATTTAGCATTGAAAACAAAGAAGAGCAAAATGAGCAAATTAAAAGTTTTCTGTAAGTATCAAATCCAAAAGAAGTATTCCCACACAACTTTTTTTTTCAATTAAAACWCCATTGTACGCCATAAAACAAAAGAAAAAAAAGAAGAGCTGTTTAAAGTGCCATAAAACTGGGTAAAATATTTTATGGAAAACTTCTCCAAATATTATGATGTACTTAAATCTGGAAAAAAAAATATGATTAAAGCTCTCTTCAAAGTAATTTAATGGCTAGCAGTTGAAAAAAACCTTTAGGAGAATTACAAATCTCTCTTAAAGAAAATGCAAGCCAAAGCAATTATTTCATTCATTCATAACCACACTGTATTCATTAAAAGAGAAGCTAAAGAAAATRAAAAGCAACCAGCCAGCTTTTCTCTCAGTACCAAATAGCTGGCATTTCTCTTCTATTTATATGCCAATTAGTGAATTTCTGCAAGGTTAGCAAATGTACTGTAAGCACACATAGGTCTGTAGTGGACTTGAGCACACCCTTGAATAATACCAAGAATTCAGTGAGGTCTTTTAAAAGGAAGGCAAACAGGGAAACGCTGAATAAAATGGCTATGCCAGCACTATGCCATCTGACAAATTACAATCAAGGAGACACCACAAATTACTAAAACATGYAAAGATAACTAAGTTTAGGTCAAGACTGCATGTGTCATGACAAAGCAGATATTTACAAAACAGTCAGTCAAAAGCACCCCATGTCAGGTGGTAAAATGTACCAGCAGAGCTGTCAATCCAGTTGAAAATAATTAATGCAATTCACATGGAAGAATTTAGAATGACTTCATGTGCTAAAGATGCACTCAATAAAAAAGTAAATATGTATTGCAACAGCATTCTCTTCTATAGTAATACTTACAATAGAATTATCTTTCCACAGCTGTATCACAACACATTCAAGTGAAATGTATGTCCACTTAATGTTATCCGAATCAAGAGAAATAATACAGCATCTCTAATACATTTTATTCCTAGAAACTAAAAAGATTAAAAATTATGTCTACAATAATAATGTTCTGAAATAAAATTTAAAGTGATATAGTTATTAAATACATCTTATAATAATTAAAATGGATATTCAGCACCTTTGAAGGAAATTAATATTTGTATTTTTAATTTAATCTAGTTTAAAATGGTAAGATAAACTGGGTCAAACAAATGACATTTTTCAGTTCCCTTTAAGAAAGGAAAAGGAAGTATCACAAATGAACAGCCTAGGTTCCMGCTTTTATCAAGTAAATTAAACGGATGTTTGACAACAAGCATGCTGCTCAATATCAAAGCTCCTCATTCAGTTTATATTTTACTACCTTTTACTATCTCCCATCTGTTTATTGTAATTACATTTGCACCATTTGGCCTTCCTGCTCTAATTGGAAATTCATATGAAAATCTCCAAGACAATAAAAAAAATCAGAAAACTGGAAAAATTTCTTAGTAAAAACTATGTTGCAGTTTACACTGGTAGACTGTCTCTAAAGGAGAAAAACTAGTCTTATTTACAAAACAGACAAGTAGGTCAGCAACTAGCACTAGGAAAACAACCAACACCCCAAACTTCCCACAAATTATAAAGCTTGACAACAAACAGATTAAATTAAGCTATCTGAAATAATTTWAAAAAATGTATTATACAGAGCAATCATTTCCACACAGCTTGGCAGCACATTTGTAGTTAAAAGTCCATCATAAGTTCTATAGAACTTAATAATGTTCTTTTCAAAAAGTTGCTGTCTGAACTGCGATGAACCATCAACCYAGATACATATTTTATTTTGAAGTATTCTTTAGAATGAACCAATGCCTTTGATCAGAGCTATGCTGAAATCTGCATAGCAAAACTGGCTGAAAACAGGATTCAATAGCAACAATTGCTTAATAACAGAAGAAAAAAAGTGCATTAAAAATTGGATATGGAACTGTACACTTATTAGTCATACAGACAGTATGTGGACAATTACACTGCACCCCAAGAACCTCAATGTTCTGAAAGCTTACAATGTTTTCAATACACTGCTGTCTTAAGTACTCTGGCTGTAGTATTCTGAACAATACAAGGATGAAAGATGCTTCACTGCCTAGGAGATACCGAAATAAATTACTGTATGACAGGTGCAAAATCATCACAAGAAGTGGCTCTTTACACAGTGTAAATTTAGGTCATGATAATTCCTGCAGTGAAATGTTATGGATACTAAAAGGTTACACAGGGTTCCAAAAGCAATTTTCTTCTTGTATAAATGAATGCTTATTATCATGCCTGCTACATGCACTGACCCCACTCACAGCCCAGGAAGTGCATGCACTGTGCGTTCTGAGGGCTGGGAGGATGCTCTAGTGAGGTTTCACTGTCTTCCCCAAAAACCTCCCTTCCTTACCTGGCCTTTGTTTATGCATGACAGGATATTGCCCCATCTTGTCTTCTCTTACTCCAGTACAGACTACACTTTTCATATTAGGTATTTAACAAAAATATTTCTACCCTACAAAAAAAAGAATTTTAAATGCTTTATTGAAGCATTTGGTTTTATCAGTATTTCCTAAAATGGCAGTATTGTTTTGTAATCTTTAACCAAACCAGCAAATATTTCAGCAAGAACTGATGATTCCTAACTTCCTTCTAGACACCTGAAAGTCAGTTGGTGAGACATCTATTGCAGCTGCAAAGTATTTCCYTGTCTGCAGAATTAACAGCTTTCTATGGTGAAGGGCTACGACTTTCAAAAGGTAGTAACCAGAGTGTCAGAATGAACATGTGGGTAATAAGTTATTTGAAACATGATGCAGCAACAGGGAAATTGGCAGCATTATCCCTGTAGATATACTCACTTTTAAGAAGTCCTGCATTATGCAGCCAAGAGATGGGTGTAACCAATTTCAAATGTCTAAAGACGCTGCCAAGATTATAGTTTTGATACAGTCCTGTTATTGCAAATAAAAATCCTTAATAATCTCAAATTTGAGCATTTTACAGCCCACATTTTTTTATTTGCCTGTAATTGAAAACAGCTCCAACTAAACTATTAGCGAACATTGAGACACAAATCCTACAGAGAAACAAAAAGCTATGTTTAAAATTTAAATTAAACCTAATATATGTCTTAAGTTCCAACTTTTAAGTATGGCAGTCCTCCACCTTAAGACTGAAAATAGTGTCATTTTAATGGTACACAATTATCCTATTATTGTACAACAAGTTCTACTTATGAATATTTAAAAACAACATTAAAAAAAGCCCTGCACCAAGCTGAGACATAGTACGGACAAAGCCAGAAGCCATTTGTTGCCCATTATGTGCCCTTGTAAGTTCCAATATAAAATATTTGCTAAAWTTAAGTTTACCTTCTCATATAATTGCCTAGAAAATCTGGGGAAATTTCTGAAGAAATAACTCAAATATTTCTAAAACAAGATTAGAGCAAAATGTTCTTTGCCACTACCTTTAAAAAAATTAGCAGTATCTCATATATGCAAACTGGTACTGAAATGCTGCAAGATGGCTATCAGTTTGTGTTATTTCTCTYGTGCAAATCCATCCAAACGCAGACAAGTGAGCGGCTTTGTGAATATTCATTCAACAAGGACAGAGGCAAACTCTCTCAACACATCTGTCTATATAGAAGTAGTTCAATAAATTTGTGGAGCATGCTGTTTTAGTATCACAGTGGCAGTAAGAACCAAAAATAAGGCATCTTTACCCCACTACTTTCTAGTSAACCACTGTTGACACGAACATGAGGGATAGAAGACACAGGAGAGAACACCACTGCACCAGGACAAGACACTCGAACCAGAGCTAGACAGATTCTGGAATCAGGACTCAAGAAAGGTAAACATGAGATGCCATGACGGGAGAAATCAGAAATGAGAGCAGCAAAGGAGCATTAATGGAGCAGCAGAAATTGGTAGAGAAGATTTGAAGTTGAAGCTGGTAACCAAACCACAAAGAAATGCTGTCAGCAAGCAACAGCCCCTGGAAAAGCATCTACCATGACTCCTTTATTGCCTATTCAGTGTAATAAAAAAYACCAGTGCCAGTAGTTCTAATTTTGACTGAAATGGAGAAATTTATGCCAAAGAACTGGCTGGTAAAACTGAAGGTAAGATCAACCCTGAGATTATTGTATCCATATAATTGATATTAAAAAGTAATCTATAAAGGTAATTGGTTTAAAYTTAGGAAGTTATAAGGGGTAGACAGCACAATAATATTCTCTACTCTGTAAAACCCTCTGAAGTGGGGTAGTGTAACACAAAAAGTGTTCTGTGAGCGATCATAATTAACCTACTTACATACATGCAGTRGGAAACAACCTTTAGCTACATCACCACATATTTTAATCAGGACTCTACCRTACTCAGGTGAAAACAAAGAGCTTAACAGTCATTTAATCAGTTTTTTTTTCCTCCCCTCATCAATTGATTAGCCTGTGCCATATTTACTGCACATCGCTAAAAACCTTTCTTTAATTATTAATTTCCTACTGACTTTAATTGGCATGCTCAACACCACCACATGAGAAATTCATTAACACTTACAGTAAAGTCTCCACAAGTGGTTGCATAGAGGGCTTCATGTAAATGAGGAACTGTAGAGAGCTTTTTTTAACACTGAAATATCTTAGTCTTGAATATTTAAGTTCCAAACCCATCAGCATTTCATCTTAAGGCACCCAGTTTCACACAACATTCTGGTGTTGAAATGGTCTCGTTTATTTCTGTTACATCTCTGAAAGCCTAATTCTTTTGCACAGGAAGCTTAAAGCCAAAGGGTGAATAGAAAATTAARACTACTTTTCCAGAGTAGGGGGATTATAAAGACAAGAAAATGAGCAACACTCTAGGATAGCTTCTAAATGTTTACTCATGAAACTTGTAAAACTATCCTTAGTGCTTCCACAMTTCTCTGCTACCTTCACTGCTCACAATGCACTCATCCCAGAAAGKGAGACAGAGGGCTGCACAAACAACAGCCTCCTGACACGAAGTATTGTCACCAGTTCCGAAGGCTAGTAGACCAAGGGATTTAAACCAAAAACAAAAAAGAAAAAAGGAAAGTTGCAGGGCTGAAGAACCTTCTGCTGAGAGCTGGAATTCAAACTAGAGGAGCCATATTTCATGCCACAGGAGTGTGTAATGTTGCTCCTCAAAGCCCTTAGATAAATACCCATCTAAATTTAAATGGCTTAGGCTAACTATCAATAAAATATTTCTTGAAGTATTTATGGACCTTTAGTACACAGTCAAGWGTACTTCTTAAAGGGAAGTAAGAAAACTACAGTGGTTGGCCAAAAAGGTTAATCTAAATATTTCTTTTAAAGGCTGTTAAAGTAAAAGACAAAGGAAGCATAAATAAAGTAAATTATGCTTAAAATCATTGAAATTCTTCATCAAAATGAGAAGATGAGCTCACATACTTAGGAAAAATAACCAAAGCAATCCTAGATTTTCAGCAGTTGAACAAGTTAGAACTGTTATTTTCAAATATTTCACTGAGTGGAAGGTTCACCTGAACACAGCCCTCTAGAAACATCCAAATGCTATATACAGCCCTGAACATGAAACTGTTCCCATTCACACTGACATAAAGAAATACTGAAGTTAGTTATAAAGCTCATTAAAATTTTATGCAATTACTGGACAAGAGTGGAACTGTATGGTAAGCATGGAAACAGGTGAAGTCRAAGACAACAGGTAAATCAAGTGAAAGAAAAGGGACTTATGCATTCAATTAAACTTCCTTGCTCAAATGGGGAACACGAGTACAATTAGGGTAACTGTCCTTATCACTAAACCAAAACATCYCACAAAAATCTCAGTCCTCCTTGGTCTGTTGTCTTCTCTCCTAAATTTACTAAGATTTAACTGAGAGGGCAACTGAATGATACCCTTAAGTATTCATTCTGCTTCTCAAGTATTTGAGCTGTTCCACCTTAGATCAAATATCCAAATTTACTCACAATTTCTTAAATAATAGA